TTCATTCATTCATTCATTCATTCATTCATTCATTCATTCATTCATTCATTCATCCATCCTTCCATCTACTGGTCCATCCATCCATCCATTCATTCCCTCCCTAACCATTCCATTTCCTCCCTCATTCGGTCGGTCACTCACTCACTTACCCTCCGGTTGCATCTCATTATTGTATGCTTTCTCCCCATCATTTATTTTTATCCGTCTTTCCACACACCCGTGCACCTATTTATACACTTCCATTCAGGCAGGGGCATCTCTGTTCTGTTTGCCCAATGCAGGGCCTGGCACTTGGTGGATATCTGTTGGATCAAATCACTCCAGGTCCACGTAGTCTAAAGAAGTCATAGAAAAAATTTCAAAGTCTGGGTTTAAAATCTGAGTCAGTCTCCTAATGGCTTAGTGATCCTGAGCAAGTTGCACAATTAGAACCTTCATGTCCTTACATGCAAACTGGGAATGATAATACTGCTCTCCACAGCGGCAGTATTATCATTAAATTTAAAAACACATTCAAAGAAACTAGCACAGTACCTGGCTCACAATAGGTGCCCAATAAAAGCTCTGTGATAATCACTACAATAAAACGTAGCTTATCATAAATATGTAAATGCAAATATTTTTTTCTCTCTGACACAGATTTGAGATAGAGTAATACTTTACCCCCAACGTACAAATAGAGTCTTGTGAGACCTTCACAGCTATAGTCACCAGATTAAGTTTTAGAACTTTCAAACTATTCTTTCAGGGCATCTCCAATCACAAATCTGAAGCATGAGGACACAAAGTGTTATTATTCACTATGAACTGCCAGCCAATGTTCTATTAACTCTCTTTTCAGCATGGCCAAAGAAGATCAGTTATAACAATGTCTCTGAGTTTCTACCAGATTCCATGTTGACTTATAGATCATTAATTAAAAAAAAAAAATTTAATGTTTATTTATTTTTGAGAGAGAGAGACAGACAGAGCCTGAGTGGGGGAGGGACAGAGAGGGGGAGAGACAGAATCTGAATCAGGATCTAGGCTTCGAACTGTCAGCTCAGAGCCTTATGTGGGGCTCCAACTCACGAGCTGTGAGATCATGACTCGAGCTGAAGTCGGCCGCCCAACCAACTGAGCCACTCAGGCACCCCATAAATCATTTCAAAGTCAATTATATTCCTGGGTAGCCTGGGTTGCTCAGTTAGTTTAACTCCCCACTTCAGCTCAGGTCATGATCTCACGGTTCGTGGGTTCAAGCCCTGCATCGGACTCTGTGCTGACAACTCAGAGCCTGGAGCCCGCTACTGATTCTGTGTCTCCTTCTCACTCTCTGCCCCTCCCCCACTCACTCTCTGTCTCTCTCAAAAATAAACATTAAAATTTTTTTTCTTAAATTCAATTATATTCTGAATCATTCTTATATTAACATTATATTTTAATTATTTGGCATCCCATTGTATTTACAATTTTAGGAATGAGAATGTTTACTAACCTGGAAACTCTTCAAAGCAGGCACCACGGAAATGGCAGAGTGCAAGGTCAAGCGTAGGCTACCATTGGTTCTCTATGAGGGTGAGGTACCATTCCAATAGGAGGCATCTGGAAATGTGAAAAGGATGTTTTGGGTTGTCACAATGATTGGCTGGTTCTACTCATATGCTACCCTCTTACAATGCTCAGGACACAATAGCACAACAAGAATTGTCCTGGGCCAAGTGCCGACATGGACGCCTTGCGGAGAAATGCTGAGCTATGCTAAAGCTTGGTGTATAGGCCTTTCAGATTTAGAAATGGCCACCGTCATGTTGCTATGTGGCCCAGTGAAGCAAAAACTCCCATACTCTGTCTTACCGCCTCCCTTCTTCCTCAAGGAGGACACATACAACAAGGATAAAATTAGGCATAGGGACAATGAAGTAGCACCTGGGGTTTTAGCCTCAAACACCAGAATGGAACTTGGGATAATTATGCTTGACCAAACAGAAGACTTAATTTTCTTAAACTCTACTGACTTACCTCCTTCTCCTAAATCCATACTCAACTTTTGGATTTCACTGCTCTGATTGGCGGAGAAGTACAACTTCTGACATCATGAAAAAGGGGTTCCAGACTCCATATCTATCTATGGCTCACACAACTTCTCACTTGGATGTTTAATACACAAAATGCTTGTTTATTTGACCCCCACCCTCACTCCTGAAATCTGTTTCTCCTCCTGGAGTTTTGATATCTCTAGACACTTAGTTGCTCAAGCCAGAAATTAGGTGGCAGTCATCCTTGATTTCTCTGTTTCCCTCACCTCCTGCATTAGTTACCTATCATCTATTATTAGTTATTATTATCTGTTGTTCATAACAAACTACTCCCAAATTTGGTAGCATAAGATAATGCACATACTATCTCATCATTTCTGTGTGTCAAGAATCCAGAACACCTTAGGTAGGTCCTCTGCTTCACAAGCTCTCACAGGGCTGCAATAAAGTGTTGGCTCAGAATTGTGGTCTCATCTGAAGGTTCAACTGGGAAGGATCCACTTCTAAGCTCCCGTACATGGTTGCTGGAAGAATCCAGTTTCTTTCTGGCCAATGAACTGAGAGTCTCAGTTCCTTGCTATCTTTTGGCCAGAGGATGCTCTCTGTTCCTTGTCGGGTGACCCTCTCTATCAGCAAAAGCCTAAGCCTGTAAGAAGAGTCAGAGGTAGGATGCAGCAATACAAAAGTCACAGTCTTTTATAACCTAATTTCAGAAGTGACATTCTGTCACTCTGTCTTATTCTTCTTGCTAGAAGCAAGTCATTACATCTCATTCATACTCAAGAGGAGAAGATTACACAAGGGTTTGAATATCAGGAGGCCAGGATTATTGGGAGTCATTTTAGAAGGCTGCCTTTCTCACCTCCCATATCCAGAGAACGAGCAAATTCTGTCAAAGCTACTTCTAAAATCTGATTGCCATCTGTCCCCCTCTCTCCTTCTGAATTGCCAATCATGATTGCCTGACAAGACCAAATGTTGATAAATTCTTAATAGCCTCATTCCTACCATATTCCATATAAATTGTGACAACTCCACTCCCCACCCCCCAGTCTCCACCCCTGTTACATGATGCGGCTATTTTACAGCCTACATGCAATAGCAATTATTCTATTGCTATTCTATTCTAATTATTCTCCTTGTTTCTTCCCATGCCTTCTTCCAAGTTTTAAGACAGGACGACTTTTTTTAAGAAACATAAATTGAATCTTATTTGTCCCCTGTTTAAAACTCTGCAGTGATTCTTCATGGTTCTTTGAATAAGTCTGAACTCCTTACCATAGCATCTAAATCCAGCATGATCTGGCCCCTGACTGCAGCTCCAACTACATCCATCCTGGGGCTCCTTCCAGCTCCAGTGCCTTTCCATCAAGGCCTCTACCATTCCTGGATTTTCCTTGCTTCAGTGTCTTTGTGCTTGCGGTTCCTTTTGCTGAATCCAGGCTCTGGAAGGCACTTCAATATTTAGATCTTGGCCTAAAGCCACCTCCTTAGCAAGACTATTGCGGACTTCCTTTTTTTTTTATTTTTTTATTTTTTTTTTAACGTTTATTTATTTTTGAGACAGAGAGAGACAGAGCATGAATGGGGGAGGGTCAGAGAGAGAGGGAGACACAGAATCTGAAACAGGCTCCGGGCTCTGAGCAGTCAGCACAGAGCCCGACGCGGGGCTCGAACCCACACACCGCGAGATCGTGACCTGAGCCGAAGTCGGCCGCTTAACCGACTAAGCCACCCAGGCACCCGGAGGACTTCCTTTTTTAAGGAGATAGTGTTCCTCTTATTACTATTTGCCCATTTTGTTTCCTATACAACACTTACTACCAATTGTATGTGTGTGTATACATACATAGACGCACACACATACACATATATGAACACACACAGATACACATTACACATACACATATATGTTTATATGTTTCCAAGTGATTATTTATGGACAGTTATATATATATACATATATATATATATATATGCATATATTTTAAGAGAAGGAGAGAGAGAGATTGAGCAGGGGAGGGGGCAGAGGGAGAAAGAGAGAGAGAGAGAGAGAGAGAGAGAGAGAGAGAGAGAGAATCTTAAGCAGGCTCCACGCTCAATGCAGAGACCAACATAAGGCTCAATCCTACTACCCTCACATCATGACTTGAGCTGAAATCAAAAGTTGGACACTCAACCGACTGAGCCACCCAGGCACCCCTAGCATATATAGTTCTTAATTGTATAACTGGATATACCACAAAAACCAAGATATAGAACTTTTCTAACATCTCAGAAGACTCTTTATGCCCTCTCCCAGGGGTTACATTCAAGGATAATAATTACTCTAGCTTCTATAATCATAGATTAATTTTGTCTTCTCTTTGAAACATTATATAAATAGAACTATATGATATGTATGCTCATTCAACATATTGTCTGTGAGGTCAATTCATGTTTTTCCATGTATCAGTTGGTTTGCTTGTATATATGTTGGTTTGTTTGATGGGTAATATTCCATTATATGAATATACCATAGCTTATTATTTTTTACTCATTTTACTATTTTTATTTTATTCATTTTTACTATTGAGATAA